GGGCGGGCGGGCGAAAAACGATTATTTACGTGCAACGTCACGCCGGCCGGGGGCCTTGGAGCATCGAAATCGCGCCACGGATATAGTTTTTGCGCGAGTTGGAAACTTCCTTCGGACAAGTTTCCACGAGGAGCGAGGCCAAGTTTCGAATATGCCGGGGCTATGCCGCTGACGCCGTTGCAAGAACCGCCTCGCCCACCCCTCTCGAGACGCGACCGCCCCTGAAGAGTTTCTAATTAAAGATCCGAACTTTATTCCGCGTGTAGCAAGAAATCGCTCTACGCGCACTGCACGTGAACCGCGCGCTCTCTTCGAATGGAAAGAACTCGAGAACGAGAGAGAGAGAAGGAGAAAGGAAGAGAGAGATAATGGTTTCGAGGGGATTGCAATAACGCGCGCCAAGTTTTCGCGGTCGGGGGACAATAGTGAGGGGGGGGGGAGGGAAGACACGAGACGGCATCTCAAATTCTGCGCAACGCGCGCACACGCGACAACGTGCATCTGGTGTTTCTACTGAACGCACCTTGAAGAGGAGACTTGACTTGGTCCCTCTCGGCCGCTTGGTGCTGCCGCGATTTTCTCTCCAGCTCGAGTTCCTGCACTAGCGATTCTGCGACAGAAAAACACAGGGAAAATTGAGAGGCTAAATAATGCGACAATGTGCGACACTGCGCCCGGCTTACGTAACGCGTTAGCGCTGGCTGGGCACAAGACGCAAGCGCGATACCAGCGATCCCGTCCGGGCGTTCTCGACTTAAGATTAATATCGGCGTTCTCGGGTAACGCGCTCCGCTGCCTTCGACGTCGAAGGAATCGCCTCGAGGTGAAGTCCGTCGGCTCGCAACGCACACGCGGGAACGCGCGGATTCGACGAGGCGTGAACCACCACGCGCGCGAAGGATGAAACGGAGCAGTAATTAGTGCAAAACCAGCTACCGTCAGCCGCGCGAAAAGGGGGATGGAAAAGGGACGAGCGGGATAACGGACGAAGGCAGGCGTGAAAGGGCCGCGGGTTTGCTCACTGAATTTCGCAAGGATTAGGGTGAAAACTGGAAAATGTCCCTTTAATGATATCGCGCCGAATTAACCGGGCACATGCGTCTCGCTTCTGCGTGCCGCCTGTCCTCTCGAGCGATTTATGCAGCGACGTCTCTCTTTCTCTCTTTTTATCCTTCACTCTCCTTACTATTGTCCCTTTTCTTTTTTCTCAATCCAAGATAGAGCGAACAAAGAGTTGTTAGATTTTCCAATTGCGGAAAGTAATTCATATTTGATGCCGATCGATCCCAACGATTGACGTTCGACTGGCAATCGCTGAGTCAATTTTTTCGCGAGACGACTCGAAGATTCAAACTGTAAAATACTGTCCGACTGACATCAGACCCAAGTGGGAAGAATTTTCATGCCTGACACTTCACCCATTTGCGTCATTAGCGCATATGTGCGCTCGATTCGTCTGGTCATTAGCACCAGAGCTCAACGTTCAGCTCTTGTTTATCTTTTATTTTTTTTAATTTCATATCCCAGGAATCTTTATATCTTCATAATGTAAATGGATTAATCACATCTCCGACGGCGGAGAAAGGGAATTCTTGGTAATCGGCGGATCGGCCGCCGGTTACGGATGAGAATCGCGAGAGAGACGGAGAAAGAGAGGATTAAGCGGAGGGGTATGACGCCGAAGGGACGCGGATCTGATCGGTAAGCGTGAAATGGCGCCTCCTTGGGCAAAGAGCAATGGTAAAATCCAATTGCGAGGCCATTAAGTCCCGGTTAACCGGCGCTCGCGGACGTGCGAGAGGAGTCGGTCTCCGTGCCGCTCTCGTCGATGCCGGGACTAGAGACGGCGGGGCCGAGATTCCATTATGCTTTGAGCAACAATAGCTGAGGGCTGTTTCGTGGGTGTGAATTCGTGCGTTCGTCAGGGCCGTTATATTCCACGACTTTGGGGCACGGCAATGTTTGCGTTTCGCTGAGCCAAATTACCTCTCGCGCCCTTATCCGCGCGCGGGGTGTCGCGTCCCTTTGATATCCAAATGACAATTTAACTGCTCCAGATATATAACGCCGCCCGCGCGCTCGGCGAACCGCGCGGAAGGGCGGGTTAGCCGGAGGAGATAGGTAAGCAGATAGGTAGGAGAAAGAGATGAGGGAAGGGTGGTGGGGGCCGCGGGACTAGGAGGCCCGGATTCGAGGAAAGTTTCTCTCGAGTCATTCGGAGAGTCGGCTCGAGAGAATACGCCGCTTCTTCGCGCTTCTGCCGCGCCGAGCCGGGATAAAGAGCGGGGAAAAAGTGATTTGATTGATTGTACGCGTCTTTTTTGGGATTCCCCGTCATTTTGTTCCGTTGAAATGGCTCTCGGCGGGCGTCCGCCGGCACTGGAATAACGTCCGCGTCGTCGTCGGGCGTCCATCGCCGTAAGAAAATGATGTGCACGACGGCGACGACTTGGAAATCCGGATTCGCGATTTCTCGCGGGTATCGCTGCGTGCACGGCGTATCGAATGAAGAAAGAAGGGGGCTCGTCCGTTCAATCCCGAGGAAGTCCGCGGCCGGCGTATCTCGAGCGTCCAAGAAGAATGAGCCCGCTAATAGTTTCGCTACCGTCTTACACACCCTGACAAATCGTCCGGACAATGAAAACAATTTCAGGCGAGCCCAGTACGGGCCCTTCGCCGGGCCCTAAACGGTTGGTATTGTGCCGCTACATCGCGCGCCATATCGGCCCGGGGTTTTTGGGGTGGCGACGCGCGAGGCGAGGGCCCCCTAAAAAAGACGTCCGCTGAAAAAGAAGGGCTCGCCCCTCTATGACTCCGCATTTATCCGCACGTAATTAACTCCGGCACAATGCGCCGCGAGGAGGCCACCTTGCCTCCAAGTAGAAGAAGAAAACGAACCGAATCGAAACAGAGAACGGCGGCAGAGAGAGAGAGGAGGAATGCGCGAGAGGAACGGTCTGGGATCTCGCAAGAACTGGAAAAACTCACGCATTGTTCGTCGCGGGAACGAGAATGCGTGCTCGCTCGTACGAACTTCATTATTGCATTGGCGTCGTGCGCGCGCGAAAGAGAGAGAGGGGGAGTCCCCTGCTGAAATCCAGTCCGACGAGGAGACGACTCTTTACTCCCGCGGGCTGAAGGAGCGCGCGAAAAAGATCCGCGATTGATAAGCGCTCGCGCGCCGGACCCGGCTTCCACGGCAGTTTTTGCCATTTGCACGCGGCGAGAGGCCGAGCCCTCCTCCGCTTCACCCGCGAGACGTTGTCCTTGGGATTTAACCGAGTCCGCCGTGTGGCGCCGGATATCGAATGTAACCGTCAGCGTGATGAGCGTCTCTCTCTCTCCTTCTTTCTCTCGACGTGTTTCTTGCGCGAACGGCGAAAAAGGCAATTTAAGTATCGCATCGGAGCGGCGGTAATTGGTTGAATGCCCTCTCGCTCTCTTCGAGGATCGCTCGACCCGAAGGTTAGCGACGTTTCGCCAGCCAAAAGAGGGATATATACACCGCGCGGGGATAAGGAGGAGGAAGGACGCGGTTGAACGTGGGGGTAGCTAGGGGGTTGATTTCGTGTAGCGCGTCGCGTTTTTAATGCTCTGATCTTTATGTAAAGCAGACGAGAGGATCTCCTCTCTCGAAGGGCGGAGGGGAACAGCAGACGGGGAGGGCAGGTGGGGTGAACGGAAGGCGCGGATGGAGGTGGGGATAGGCGCTTGAGTGTCAAGCCGACCGTGAAATTGTATGAATCAAGGAGCCGCACGAAGTAACGCGGAGACACAAAAAGCGGAGGAACCAAGAGGACAGAGAAAAAGATAGATAGATAGAGAGAGAGAGGAATAGGAGGTGGAAGAGAACAGAAACGAAGAGGAATGCTGGGATATTCCTGCCTCTCTTCTGCCCGTCCTCGCTTTCGAATCGTGCGACTCTTATAATTTCAAATTTCCACCGGTTGCGACGGCCTTCCTCTTCTTCCATCCCTTAACTTTCCCTCCCTCCTCGACATATCGCGAAATTGCAAGCAGCACGCCGCGCTAGGGCGTGAGAATCTCGTCTCTTCTCGTTCGTCGTTGAGAGGCTCTCTTCCTCGACGCGAAAAAGTCGCGCGGAAAAGAGAAAAGAAGGGTCTCCAGGTCCTCCGGTGCGATACAAACGCGCGACGCTAATTCGTGGTTCGGTCGACTTGTCGATAAAGTCCCCCGGCTTCGACGATGTCGTCAATATCGTTTGAAAAGAGCACCTATCTAGGGCGATCAATGGGACTCGGTAATTGTTCTTTTTTTCCCGCGCGCAAATCTCTCTCTCTCTTCAGTGTGCCGTTCACATCGAGAGAGAAGCGCTCCGGTAACGAATTTAATCCCCTCGCAATCCGCGCGCCTTCCGATCGGCGCCTGCGGCGATGCAAAATCAGAAGTCAGGGGCAGAACTCTCTCTCTCTCTCTCTCTCTCTCTTTCTCTCTCTCAATGATTTGATTAAACGGCAGATGAGAGAAAGAGAAGATGAAGGAGAAATGAAACAAGACGATACTGCAGAAAAGACATAGGATTTAAATTACGAAAATTTGAACTGCTAAGAAATGAAATTCAGGCTCTAGTGCGGGTCGCGAAGCGTGAATTTTATATCGACCTTTCACCAATATTAAGGGCCAGAAGGAGGTGTGGCAAAAATTCAGGCACCCGGGGCTGTTCGAATCTGAAACGAAAGACTGCCCTTCGCGATTCTCTCCCCGGATGAACTTAACAATTGATTTATTCCTCCGTCGATTGTAATCGCACGTAGAGCGATAATTGCGATTTTATCGGTGGGACGGATTAGACCGACGACAAATTTCGTGCGGACGAATTGAGGCGAGGGGCGCGCGTGTGTCGCCCGTCATTTAATTTAAATAAATGTGACGATTCGAGATCGATCTATTCGCGACGTCCGTTCGCGGATTTTTCGCGACGCGCGAAGAAACGGCGGCAGAGGGCAGAAGGAAACTCCCCGGCGAAGTCGTAGCTCGTAATCGCCGCACGAGGGGAGGGTCTGGCAACAACCCCAATATTCCTGACAACACCTACTCACACCGCCGGCTACGACCACGCGAGCTACCATCGCGTACAGATAGAAACTCTACCTTTCCGCCCTTCTCCCTCCCCCGCCGTCGTCGCCCACCCTACCCGATTTCTCCTGTCTCGGCTTGTTCGCCGGAAAACCACGTCGTGCCTCGTGGATATATTCAGGGCGAGGGCCGTTTCCAAGCCCTCCGCGTCCTGCTCTCCGCCCTACCGCCCACGTCGACGCGTCGGCTTCCTTCGGCCTTTATATTGCTCGTACACACGCGTCACGCTTTATCACTCTTGCGGGGTTATTGTCTTTCGCGTAATGGTCTACGCACGTGTACGCACAGGTGCGACGCTCGCATTTTCTCGCGTGGGCGGCTGGAAAGCTGGAAATAATCCGGCGTGCGCGCGTAGCCACGTCGACTCGTCCTCGTCATTATTGTCGTTGTCGTCATCGTCGCGGTCGTCGTCGTCGTCGTCGTGGTCGCGGTCGTCATTTTTCTTCCCGAGGCGATACGCTTGATTTGCGAGAGTGAAGTTTAAAACTTTTTACTTCTCTCGGCGGAGAGAGCGTTAGATTTTTGTTTTGGTTTGCAGACCGCTCCAAGGTTAATTCATTCGTGGACGCGCTCGTATGTAGATGCGACGCGTACAAAGACTAAAGGGTTTAACGTTGAAGGACGTTACAGCCGTAGCTGCCGCATACTGATGTTGTTCCCGCGAGGAGGACGTCGATGAAAAATATATCGGCGCGCCACCGATCTCTCGGCCGGACGGCTGGCTATCGCGCGATTACTCCCATTCCGAATAATTCCCAAAGACTCGAGTCCGTCAAATATTAATGCCCGCGCGGCGATTTAGAGTGATTGCGGTCGCGCAGGGTGGATGAAGGTACGGTGCACACCGCGGAGCAATCTCGCAAAGTCGGTGTGGGTGTGTTCGAACGTGCCAGGTCTTCGTGCGGTGGAAGAAGCACGTTCCGAGCGACGGGAGGGAGAGAGGTGGTGGTAACGGGGAGGGGGGAATAAACGATAGAGACGGCGAAGCTGAAGACGACGGTGCGAGCGGGAGGGGGGAGGAACGAAGGCAGCGAGGAAGAGAGAAAGCGAGAGTGCTGCGAATCGGAAGGGAGGTAGGACAGAGCGGGCGAGCGAGATAGGAAGAGGGGAGAGGGAGGAGGTTATGGTTGCTGCGAAATTATTGCATATAGTCTGAATATTAAAGCGTGGCGGAGTGCTTCGTCGTGCTCCGCGGATGGTGGACGTGGAGGAATCGCGCGTCGTGCATACGCGTACGCACACACGTTTCCATGCGCCCGGTATGCGTGTGCATGTACGCACGAGAGAGAAAGGGAGGAAGAGGGCAACGCGATGCCGGGAGGGGGACAAGGGGGCTGGAGGAGGTTTAAGGGAAGCGCGGAGGGAACGCGAGTGGAAGAAGGAGGGAGGACAGGTAACGCCACCGAGAGCCGCGGTGGCCGCCGGGGAAATTACGGCTCCTTCCTTACTTGCGAGAGATGTGCATAAACTCTGCATTACACCCAGTGGCGCTCATGTGAGTTAGATGAGACCGTCAGTATGTGTGTACGCGAGAGAGAGAGAGAGTGCGCGCGCGCGGTCGCGCGAAGTCGACCGGTCGGGAGGTCGCGAGAAGAGCGACGCGCAACTGCGTTGCCACCGAGGAGGAGGGGGTTTCTCTCGAAAGGGTCACTCGCGTACGAGTACCTGTAATGACGGTTGAGGCTCGGGATCGAGCTGAAGGGCGATATCCCGTTTCAAAGATGAACCTCCGACACAGCCGGTCCCGACGTTTCGTCCGATGCGCGCGATCGACAGACGGAGATTAGCTTCCAACGCGCGGTACAGAGCGAGATTTTCGGTTTGCCGTTGTGGTATACGCGGCGTGTATCAGAATCCCCGAGGAAGAGGCGGAGAGAAAGAGGAGGACGAGGTGGCGCGTTCGTTCGCGTCGACCACGCGACGGGAATGAGAGCCACCGCTCGTATAGAATGCATGACTCGAAGACGCGGCGGCGGCCCCGAGGTCCCCTCAGCGGCGTAAGTACCCACCTCAGACGACGTTACGTCCAACTACCTCTTTCCCCGTGTTCCCTCTCGATAGCCATCCCCTCCCCCCCCCTCCCCTCCTTTGCTGCTACCGCTACGCGCGCGCTGTCCCCTCCCGCACGCGTCACCCCCATCTAAATCTCCGTTGTTTATTGCAAATGGATTCCGCATCATGATGCCCGGGTGGCTGCGGGACCCTATTCAAATACCTCGTGTTTCCTCGTCAGGGCCAACTCGGTTTTCTAGCCCCTCTCTCCCACCCCCCGCCGTGTTTCGCCGCGTTCTACGTTCTCTCCCACCCTGCCGGCGCACGGGGTTGTTATTGCCGCCGGCGTGATTGCTCTCGCTCGAGATCTTTCGAATAATTTACTTTGCACGATACCACCACGACACACACACACACACCTCAGCGTCGTCGTCTCCCTCGCCCTCGGGCCCGATCCTCCTCTTTTTCTCTTCCATTTCCCTACTCACCCCCCCCCCCCCCCCCCCCC